GAGTTTGGTTTTGGTTTGTATATAACGATATTTCAGTCGTGCCCTACTGCTATCTACATACTCAGTTCCTCGTTATATGAAAGAGGACTCAGTTGGAATCTGTGGGTGATCAAGTCAGGTCTGGTAGTTATAAGGAGTATGTAGTTACGTCCCTGTGATTCCATGATTTCTGAAACTTTGAAATACTATGGGACGTAAGTCCATTAATTTTATGTACAGATATCCATCAAAGCTATATGCAAGTATGCTCGCTGAAGAAAATCTAATGGAATAGTTGAGCAAAGTAGTCAAAAATTAGCGCAATAATCAGTAGCATTTTGATATGCACACCCTCATTTGAAGTGAATTCTTCTAGACTTATCCAAGATTTCCAAGAAATTTTCCTGAGGGTCTAATTTTTGCTACGCCCGAAGACCATATACCTTCAACAGTATCGATGGTCCACATAGACTTAAAATTTTTTTTTTGAATTTCTGGGATCATTGGGACCACCTAGTTCTCTAACAATACCGCAATCGCTATCAGAGATTCGACCAGTATCCGGACTGCCAGTTCGCCCTGAAAATTTATTTTTATTCTTACCATGAAACGGGAAAATTTTTAAAATTTCTAACACCGAGCACCTGCTATGGCCACATTACTTCCGTCTTCTGTTACACCTCAGAGAATTTTGAACAATTTTATCGGGGGCCATCCGAATTTTCTTGTGAATCCTGCCGGTCATGACAAAACGAATCCCGCATTCTGCAAGAAATATCATTTTTGTCGATTAGGTGATTATGTGGCCTCGTCCAGCTCAAGTTACCCTGAAAAGCTTGGAAATATGTAATTCCTGTTCATGTATGCTCACCTGAAGTACTTCGGGCAAATTTAATTATTTCCTCTGTTTTTGGCACTCGCTTTCCAGCTAGTAACTGCATAACTTTCCTTTTTAGATTCTTTTTACAACCAGAATCACCTGTTCCTAGCAACTCAGCTTACAAACGGTGAAGAAAGAAGTGGAAAACTTTTCGAGGAACTGAGGGGATGACTTTGGGCTAACCACTAATCTAGCTAATTGATAGTGTTCTTCAAGCTGTACGCCGTTAGGCAGCTATGTAATTAGAGAGGGATTCGCCTAAAAAATATTTACTAAAAAAAAATAAAACTGGGTGTTCATTGGAAGAAAAGCAGGCTCCAACCCGGTAGTTTCCCTGATTCAATGATCGAGATCTTTTTGTTATGATGTAAAACCTTGAATATGTCATTAAACGAGTAGTTCCCCTTTTTAGTACTCGCAGGGAAATTATCCCTAATACTGGTACATTAATGAGTTTTGAATAGAGTTAAGCATAAGCTAGTTTCATGTGACTCCGCCCTCCATGGTCCTGGAACTGCTCAGTCACGACAATAACTTCGTGTAACCAGAATTGAATGTCAAATCTCCTGCGATTCCTGATCCGGGAAGAATAGCCAACACAGCTAACAGTCAGCAACAAATGATTACTAATACTATTTGCCTTTACGTTGACTTATTCCTTTTCATTGTTTGTATTCTGCAAATTCTGGCAAATTCTGTTGTTTTACTCGCATGGTGCACTTCAAAACGACTCTTATACAACGACAACTTAATTCTTCTCATCTCACTTGCATTCATCGACTTTGTCTATGCCGTGCTACAATTTCCCTATTTGATCATTCTGATCGCTGGAGCAAAACCTGACGGTACGTCATTTCAACAAGCTTTCTAAGGAAAGATTTCAACAGCAGTATTGAACTAATTGATAGCTGATGACTAATGCTAGAAGTAATTCTGTAGGCGTTCTACTTTCTTTAGACCATGAGGTCCTCCGAATTGAAGCCGGCTTATAGTATATTGTATGCCATTTATTTGAGACTAATGATAATCCTTATGTTTAGGCTTTTGATTTTCTTCAATCTGAAAATTGCTAGTGTGTTTCTATGAAGCTTAAACGAGTATTAGTTATTAGTATTATTAGTTTGAGTCAGTTAGAATTCTAGAGAAAGCTTGCCATTTATTTATTCGTTTACTTCTTTATTGTTATGTTTATTATCACATGTCATTCATGTGTACTTGTCAAATAGCTACAAAAGTAAAACAGCTGAGCAAAATACAAACACACAGACGGTAGATTCGATATAGAATCCACAAGAGCTTCAATAAAGCACCTTGCTGAGAGAGTTTCAAGGTTATTCACCGATGTACCAAGCAGGTCTTGTTGGGGTAGGAAAAGAGTTGCTGGGAGTCGCACAGGAGCCTCAGGGATTTCATCGTGTCAGTTAAGGAATTCAGTTTATTTGAGGGCCAACTTTGTTTCGAATCAATATGCTTTTAACCTTTTTGATCAAAATCCCCTTTTTTTGTAAAATAAAAAAACTTCCCAGTTTCGCTGGTTCGCTCTTTTCAATATGCATGACGGGATTAGGGATGTCGACGTCATAATAAGTGTAGAGCCAGTAGTAAGTTGCAGGACGTCTGGGTGTCGTATCACGTGTAGCATGATGTGGCCGATATCAACTGATCGGCCTGACAAGCCACAAAATCGGTTTGAGCAAGATGAAGTTCAACATTCGATAAAATCGCTACCTGACTTAACTTAGTACCTATTGTTCAGTCTTCAAATAGGGGCTTCGCAGGGAATAACGAAAGCATTACAAATATTGTATATTAAAGGTGCTCCCCTCGACTACGATCCATGGGTAATCGTTCAACTTGCTGGACCATCTGCAGCCTTGATGAAATCTGGATGTACGATAACAACTGCGATAGCTATCGATCGAGTATTTGCACTCTACTTTCCATTTCAATATTTTAAACGATCGAAACGGAAGTAAGTTAGTACCGTCTTTCGAAGCCACCGTAAATTACCGTTAGAGAACCTAGTTCTTAACTTCAGCGATGCTTTCCTCTGGGTTCAAGAACACGATTTTAATATAGTGGTGCTGTTTGTTCAGCCCTCGGCAGAGGAAGGAGGTAGCAGTAGAGGCTATTCCTCAAAAGCTGAATTACTTTCTATTTTCAGCTGCAGATGTGGCTCAAGAAATGCCACTACGTGATTACCAGTAATAAGCATATTAGGTTGCTTCCCGTTGAGCATGAAGCAGGCCTAAGTTTCTCCTAAGAGGAAGTTAAAGCGGGGATTCATGCGTCAGATTAGGTTATCTGAAGAGGGTATAGCGCTTCCACTGAAATTGCGCTGCCTTTCGGGGGATAATCCAAACACACCAAATCAGAAAATTTTCTTAGTTCTTCCCATTCCAGTTGGTCAGTTGGAGCCTTCGTGCTTGCTATACTGCTGGCGCTGATAGATTGGATCGTCCTTCAACTTACGGTAACTATTCGACCGAAGCCATACTGTACTTCATTTGGATGCTTCACAAACGCAGTACGTTGCCTTTTATGTACCAGTACTTGATGGTCATTTATTACTTCTTCTCAAGGTTTTTCGCGCTTATTGGGGCCTTTCAAATATGCTGATGAATCTTTTATCATGTATTCTAACTATGGTGATATTATACCATCTATGGCATGGATCAGTACCTTCTCCGCTAGCTACCGAAATTGAAAGGCAAAATAAGCATAGGATTGATAAAAGTGTGAGTTTTCTTTGGCTCTTGAGGTTTTCATTGCTGCCTGCTATATCTCCATCTTTCATTTCACAGCTCTCCAGTTGCGAGAAAATTGGTCCACGGTCAAATATGTACTGTTCAAATTAGGAGCAGAAGGGCTCGAAGGCTAGTTTCATAGGGGCCCACCACCAAAGGCGGACTTGTTTTTATGGTACTGTAGAGGCTGCACCATTCGCAATAGAGCACACATGTTCAAAATTCAAACAACTAGTGGAAGTCAATTGTCGTCGTTACTGGCTCACTGTAGCGAACTCTCCACGAATGCATGCGACCGAGACCTTCCCCAAACACCCATTTCAGCCATAGGCAACTCCTTAAACCTTTATTTCCACTACTTTAAAGACGCTTTATGTTTATTTGTGTAGATTATTTCGCTTTCATTGCCACTGATGTACTATTTTCCAACAATACATACTTCCACCTTTCAACCCAAGAAGAGTACCTCAAAGTCATCGTGGACTGGGCCCTGAAGCATTACGGGTTGGAAATTCAATAATCTTTATCCTCGTCGATAAGGCGCACCAAAAACAAGTTTGTTACGTCATCATGGCTTGGCTCCGAACTCTGTGCATTCTGTGACATACTCAGGATTTGGTGACAAACTTTGTCGAGACTTTTCTATCTCTTCTTCCAACCAGTAGTTCTATAGCAAGCTGAGAACAAAAAAGAGAAGGTCGATTTTCAGGCGAATCGTGTGGCACTGTATATCTTGCTTGTGTCAGCTTTGTTGGGTGTTGTACCAGGATGCTTGAATTGTCTTGAACTCTTCATACATGTTCCAGTGAGTTCTCCGGGCGATAGTCATTTTTATGGAATGAGCTGAATTTGATGCTTACGCCAATTAGTTGATTTGAGAAAACTTCACATGAAGAATAGGATATAATGAAGATGCTGTCAACAAGTATCGAGTCAAGTAATTTCTTTTTTCCAGTTACTCGATGAAATCGCATTCTTCGTCGGGACATGCGCCAGTCTATCCGGACTCATCCATGCATTCATATTCGCTATGGCACATCGGGATATCAGAGAATCCATAATGAAAAAGATCCATCGAAAAATTCCCAGTTCCACCATACCTTCGATCCACTAGGCCTCCCGGTCTTGACTGTTGCTCTCTCAAAAATGCCACACATCGTGATCCTTTAGAGGGCAAGTCGTGAAGAACGTTTGTAAAAATAAATCTGAAAAAAACTGTTTTCTGCTGGAAGCCCAACGGTTATCAGAAGGGCGTTTGGTTACGATTGAGTGGTAACTAGCTTAGCTACATTGCGGACCGTGTTAACAACAAAAAACTCAGACACCGGACATCAGAACACGATGTAGACGGAAGTGGAGCTCAGAATCACAAACAGCCTACCGGTAAGGTGAATGGCAAGATAAACTAGCGAAATTCCAGAAACACAAATGGAACATTATTTCTGATCAATTTCAGTGGAATCAAGAATAATAGATCCTAACTGGCTTCATTCACGTAGCCCAGTTGCCTTCACCAGCTTTCGTAGAATGGGCAGTCTCAGAGAACCTATTACAACGATTCTGCACCGGATTCGCCTAGCGTAACGATAACTTACCATGTTGTCTGCTTTGCCTCTTGACATCTTTCCTGTGCATACACTCTACAAAAGCGGTGCTGTCATCCTTATACCAATTGTATTACATTTGAAGCATTTGCTATCTACAATTCTCAGCAATCGCCTGGAGGACACCAGCAAATTACCTTGGTGACAGGGCTTTTTATTTCATCTTACAGAGCTAACGGCTCGTTACCCTTCTCTGTGTCTGTGCATCTCCTCGTACCCCTTCCCCATCAATCCATTACGTGTCTCTAACCTATTCTATGTTTCCTATTCTATAAAACACATTTTCCCATGTCACTAACACTAAGACAGTTGTTTTTTTCCAATTGTCGGTTACTTGGTTCCTATTCATTACTTCTGATCGTTTTTTATTGTTACTGATAGTGATTTATTGTTGCGATGTAATACATACTTCAGGGTTAGCAATCAGAATAACTGGAATTTGTTATAATTCAGCGAGCAGCTATTAGGAAATAAATGTCTTCAGTGACGTCTCACACGATTAATTTCGTTTTCTTATTGGTGTACTTTCCTGTTCACCTCAATGAGGTTACGTTTTACCCTAATGTTGTTTGATTATGAGGGAATCAGCAGTTTAATTCAACCTCAAAGTGTCAAGGAACCGTAAACGTCTTCCATATGCGACTATCACACATTTTACAGGCTTTGAGGGTTGTTGATTTACTTGTTTTACCTATTTACTATTTGTTGCGTTCGATTGACGTGCCTTTGAAAGAAAAAAAAACACTACATAGGAGTGCAGATCCAACGGGGTGTGGTATATTCTACCCGAAAATCGCGTCGCGCTCCCCGCTTCCGAACGCACACATGCTGTGAAGGGAAAGGTTTGAATCCTCAGTGGAAGAATATAGTGACCGCCGCGGAACTACTACCGTCTGCCGTGGGAATTCAGGGAGTTCGCCACCGGATTCAAGCTGAACTAGGCCAGGACGGCGGGGAATAAATTTAGCAGTGAATCGAGAAAAGAACAAAACATCAGGCATAGTACCACTCCTCGTTCAGAATACTCAGGAATTATTGACCAGAAATATTAACGAAAACCAGATAAACAAAAAAAA